TTTTTGTCTTTGAAAAGTGTGGCAGAAGGTCAGAGCCGTACCTGTGTGGTTGCTTCACTTGGGTTAAAACAAATCACATTCAGCAGGGCCATATGCATCCTTGTGGGGCAGCCTCTAATGAAAATTGAAGGCGGTCCAGAAAACAAGTATGTGCAAGTTGCTTAATGCTGTGGTTTGCGACCCGGAGAAGAGGCCCTAGAGCACAGATGAGATCTTTGTGGTGTGCTTAAAACTGTGCCCACACCTAATGCATTAATGTAACTTCCACTTCTGCATCAGAAGACTGCTGGGAACAAAGCCTACCAGCCACAGTGGCCATGGGGACCATGTGTCCAGCAGAGACAAATTTCTTTTGAAGCTCAAATTAACACAGCTGGCTCAACAGAGCATTTAATCAAAGTAATAAGCCTAAACAAGGAGGGAGATCATGTCAGCCAGCAGACTGCCTTTATTCATTCCTGGGTTTAATTTTAAATCTCCAGGTATTCTGGGAATGGAGCTTTGGGCTGGAAACACGTGAAGGTGGTTTTCAGTAATCAGCCCTTGGCCCTTACATCCAGTGAACACAGGTCAGTGGCTGTACTTTTCCAGCTCTTCTCTGAGGTGCAGCTGTAGAAACCTGGTAGTGGTAGTGGATGGATTTAATCTCCTCTTCCTTTTTTTTTGTTTGTTTACTTTCTAAATGTGAATGTAGAACAATAATTTTTAGCAAGTGCTCAGGTTGCAAACAAATTGAGGTAATTCAGATCTGAATTTGAAGTTCAGACCGATAATATTACTATTCTAACAAGCGCTACCTAGTTTTGGTCAGCCCTGGTTTGGGTAGGTGGGTGGATAGGGCGTTTGGGGCAGTTTTGCTGACTTAAAGGTCGGTGTATGAGTGGCTAGTCATGGTATTGCTTGGTACAAGGCTGTATGAAGACACTGGGTCACCAAATAGAGGGTTGCCTGGCTGAACGTTGCAGGTCCTGCCTTTAAAATACCTTGCCACTGAGGGGAAGCCACCGTGAGGTACTCATGTCCCCTATGTGCTGAAGGGGACTCTTGAGGGTCCACAAAGCCCAGTGCAGAGCAGAGGGGAAAGTTGGTTGGTAGACAGGGGGTCAAAAAGCAGTGAGAAGTTATGTGCTCCCTGCTTCAGACTAACCGTTAGGCCCTCACTTAAGAAAGGTGACATTTGGGCTCTAGATTCCCTGCTACTGCAGCAGCTGCTCATGATTTTATACGAACTTGAGATGAGCCTCCCTCGCTGCTTTAGCCTTGTTGTTCTCCTCATGGAGTCACCTTGAGAAGTTTTTCGACTCATGGAGGAAGCAAATGAGTTATCAGCATCCTGCATACACATAAGGCAATGCTGCGCTTTACTGTGGCAGTGTAAACCAGAGGAGAGTAAAAGCTTCGGTTCGTGCTCTCTGACACACAAATTTTTAGGAAAACTTCAGCTCACATTCTGCACTGGCAGATCTGTAAGGAGTTTGTAGGTCAGCCTCCTTAAGTGTAGCAATGGCTAAATTAATCTGAGAGGCATGGGATTACACGGCATCCTTGAGATTAAACGATAGGAGAGGTGCTGCCATCTACCAAATCCCCAGGGCCAAGGGTAAGCACTTTCCCTGAAAACTAAATGGAGAAGGGGGTCTTCACTTAAATATAACAAGATAAGCTAAACTATATCGAGGTTGTTTTTAAGAGGCTTTCTCTAAGATATGTGGGACTAAAAAAAAGACGAATTGATGCAAATGCTACAGAATGAGAGGGAAAAGGATCCTGCCACCGGCTCTTGCTTATTGCCTCTGTGATTCTTTCTAGACTAACACAGTCAAAGTTTCCTTACTCACGTGTGGGTGGGAGCACAAGAGAAAGCAGGCTGAGATGCAGAGGCTTGAAACAATGCTGTTATTACTGAAATGTGGTCCCATGCAGAGTGTGTGTGTGTGTGTATGGATGCATATGGGTGTTGGATAGCTGTAAATCAAGCCATATAATCTTGAGTGCTGTCGTCTGTTGCGAAGGGAATTGATCAGGTCTCAAATGCTTGATTATGCTGCCTTTTTCAATGCATTTGTTATTTCCAAACTCACACTCCAGTGAGGGTCAGAAATTACCTAGGCAGCTGAAGCAGAATCCTGGTTCTCTTGTTGACTAAAAGGAAACTCTCAGGAAATCAAGTCCAAAACTTAGATTTTTTTTTTTTTGCAAGATGACTGAACACTTTTCTATTAAATGATTTTTTTAGTGGAAATAAATGTTGGGTTCTTGGAGGTATGAAAATGTAGAAGAATGATTGACCCAGCTGCTTTATCATGTCCGAGCAATAAAGAAATCATTAAGAGCCAGCAGCAAGAAGTGAATTGGGTTTTAAAGGATTTTCATTTTGCATAATAAAGGGAACTCCCAGCAAGTCATTAAATTTAATTTAAATTTTCCCTGTTTAAATTATTTCCACTGTTTAAGTTCATATGGAAATTTGGCTAGGTCTTGCTTGAGAAAGTTTAGGAAGATGCACAAGTTACCAGTAGCTAATTGATAAGCCGGTTAGGAGATAGAGTGAGAAGTGGCCATGTCACTCACAGCAGCTCTGCTGAGTTAAGGTTTAGGCCAAGAGATCCACTTCGTTGCTTGCCTTTGATGCTGGTTTTGCAATTACTCGCAGGACCTGAAGGCTACTGGAGGTGTAGCCATCTGCCTCGAGTCCATAGTTCCCAGAGTGTTGTCTGTGGCTCAGTAAGGAACTGGGTGTTGAGAGATGCTGTGGCATTAAACTGCTGTTACGTGGCCTACAGAGCCTCTTTGCAAAGTCGGTATGGCTGAACTTTGGTAACACGTGGTTGCCTACAGTCATTTATCTACGTGTGTGTTAGGCCCTTCATATGGAGACTGCTGGAGACAAACATCTTAAGCTTGCCTCGATAGGCACAGCAATTTTTTTGCTGTTTTGCCTTTAGGATTTGGGCAGGACGTTGTGTGCAAGTTGTGTGTTGCCTTTCCTTGTCTGCTTCCCCAGAGATGCCCCCAGGCTGCTTCGTGTATGGCTGTGGCTGCTCCACAGAGGCACCGTGAGCCTTAGGCTGCCTCCTGGTGCGTGCTTAGCTTGGTGGAGCTGGCCCTCCAAAGTGCTGCCGTGACATTGAGCAGTGGAAAACCACATGCATCTCTTCCTGCTGGGGTCTTCGGGCGTTTTTTGGCAGGGAGGCTCATGGGGTGTGCATGTCTGTATGCGAAGGCCGGAGCTGTGCCAGAGGTGATGCTGTCTGGATCAAGCTTGGGGTGATGCTGTGGCCCAAGGCTGGTGGTTAACAACTGCCCCAGGCAGCCACTCTCTCCTGTGCGTTGTGCCACCTTAGTTTGGTGAGGTCAGTGTCCA